TTCTGTAAAGTATTTCCTGAAGTACTGACCTACTTTTGATAAATTCTTTCAGCTTTGTTTATCTAGTAGCAATCTTATTTCTCCTTCCCATTTGAAGGATAATCTTGCCAGGTATAGTGTTCTTGGCTAAAATTGTTTTTCTCTGAGAGCTTAATGTTGTCCCAGTTTTTTCTTGCCTGCTTTGTTTCAGTTGAAAGGAACACCGTTGGTCTAATGAGAATACCCTTGTAAAGAACTTGGCATTTTTCTCTTGTAATTTTTTGAATATTGTCTTTGTCTTGAATTATTATCAATTTGGCTCTCATGTGTCTTGGAGAAAATATTCTGATGTAAAATCTGTGCTTTTTTAAAATTAAGTTAAATTTAAGTTTCTAATTATAGTTATTAAAAATGCAATTCCTTATTGATTGTACTGAATTTTTCTACATAGACAGTTTTTTTAAATTCTAATTGTATCAGAGAGAATGTGCACTCACCAGAGAGAGCAGAGAGAAAAGAAGAAATCACCTTCTAGCGGAATACAGTCATGTTGTACTCCCTTCTTTTCCATTTCTCCATCCTGCTGGGATTTGGGGCATGCACAAACATACAATGTGTTTTTTCAAACTGCTGGGTCTAGAATTTGAACCATGGTCAGCCATCTAAGCTCAGGCTCCCTTAACCACTAGGCAATGGGGCTGGCTGAGACAGTTTTATTTGTTCCTTTCCAATCTGGATGTCTTTTATTTATTTATTTTCTTTCTTTCTTTTTTTTTTATTTGACTGCACAGGTTAGAAGTTCCACTATAATGTTGAATAGAAATGGTAAAAGTGGGCATACTGGGGCCAGCAGATAGCATAGTGGTTGCATTGCTGGACTCCACATGGCCAACCACGGTTCAAATTCTGAATGTGGAGGCTTGGAACACATGCCGGGTGCATGTGTCTGTGTGTCCAAAATCCTGAGAGGAGATTGGAGGAGAAGCGATTGTGGCATGGCCATTCCCTGGGGGTGGGGGGGTGGGGGGATTTCTCACTTTCTCTCTCTCTCTTTCTCTCCAATGAGGGCATATGCTCTATAGCAAAAATTTCTCTAAAGAAAAGTAGACATTTTTGTTATTTATGATCTTAGAAGGCGTGTATAGTTTTTTCACTATTAGATCTCATTTTACGTAGACTTTTTATTTACAGTGATTCTCTGTACATCAATACAGTATACAAAATGAGATCCAGTATACCTTGCCTATCCAGTATACATTGCATATTGGCTCAGTCAAGGATATTACAATATATGTTATCATCGACACATAATTTTCTACTTGTTTCTTGCATAGTTTGCTTGCTCCCACCGCCTTGATTCTCTACCTCTCACCCTCTGCCACCTCCCTCCGTTCTCCCATACTTCTCTGGTATATACAATTGGTTTCCATGCCAATTGTTTTTTTCACAGTTTACTGGTTCACTAAAGGTCTTCATTTAAAAACTTCAATATCAAGCACAGCTGATATATGCATATTTAAGAATGCATGTCTGATTTTAGGCATACTCACTATACTGTAGTATAAAGTAGCACCTCACTGAGGCAATATAGGTTTCTGCAGTCATTAAATAGGTATTAATAGGTATTTTTAAATGCATTTTTTTAATTTTAAAAAAAGTTTTAGTTTTAATAGATCAAAATCAAAAAATGTTAGAAATTTTATTAAAACTTAAAGCCAGGGAAAAGGTTAGGATTCAGTTCAAATAGTAGGTAGATGAATCCATCGACAGTTCAAGAGAAGACAAAATCCTTAAATATGGAAATCAAAGCATCAAAGAAAATCAGTAATATTTTAGTCTAGAGTTAAAAAATTCTATGTCACTACTTTAGACTCACTTAATTTCTCTCTCTTTCATTGAATTTGCATTGTTACTGTGGTCTGATCTTTCCATTTAAACTCTGGAAGTTAACATTCAACTCCGGACTTGTCCCTAGCATTAGGTTGGACATTCTTTTGGTTGTTTCTTGTACTCTTATTTCTGTGTGTCTGACTTTTTTGAACTGTTAAACCAATCCTACATTTATGTGCTTAGCACTCCCTTCAGCACTTTTTGGAGAGCTGGCATGGTATCAGTAAATTCTTTCAGGTTTTGTTTATCTGACAAAGTTTTTGTCTTTTTTTCCCATATGGAAGATAATCTTGGGACCAGCAGTTAGAGTAATGGCTATGTCACTGGACTACCATGTAGTTGACCACAGTTCGCAACCTGGACCTGGCGGCTTGAAACTCATGATGGGCACGTGTGCATGCGTACCCAGGATCCCAAGAGGAAAATGGAGGAAAAGGGATTGCAGCGTGGCCATTCCCCCTGGGGGGTGATTTCTCGCTTTCTGTCTCTCTGTCTCTCTCTGTCTGGCTGGCGAGCGCATGCACCCTGTGGCAAAGAAAAAAAAAGATAATCTTGCTAGGTATAGTATTCTCAGTTGAAATTGTTTTTCACTTAACACTTTGAATATATTTTTCTCATTTTTTCCTTATTTGGATTGTTTCCAATGAACAGTCCAGTGGTAGCCTAATGGGATATCCTTTGAAAGTAACTTGATGTTTCTCTCTTGCCAATTTTAGTATCTTATCTCTGTCTATGGTTTTGGTCAATCTGACTGTGATATGCCTTGGGGAAGATCTGCTTGGGTGTCTCTCTAGGTTTGGAAAGTCGTCTTCCAGGATTTCATGGAATACATTATCGTCCTTATTAGTCTCTTCACCTTCAGGGATACTGATGATCCAGATGTTTGGGCGTTTAATAGTATCTAGTAGAACTTGTCCTTGTGGGATACCAATTATTCGGATGTTTGGGCACTTAACGCTTTCCAGTATTTCTCGTATAGTATTCTTATTTTTTTTTTCATTGTTTTTGCTTTTGGTGAATTTTTCTAGGTCAGAAGTTCTGATTCATCTAAGATTCCATCTTCTTTATGGTCTAATCTGCTCTTGATACTTTCAACAAAAGTTTTGATTTCCTGTATTACAACCTTCTTCTCAAATGATTCCATTTGATTCTTTTTTATGATGTGTATCTCCTTTTTCAGCTCATGCAAGAACTTCCTCACCTCCTTTCTCCTGCATCTTCTGGAGTTCATTGTCTCTATTCTCTTGCTTCTCTGTTAGCTTTGTCACTATGAATATTTTAAATTCTTTACATGACATTCATGAGTTCCTTTGTATTTGTGGAGGAAGAGGAGTTATTCTTTTCCATTAGAGGAGAGAGATTTTGTTCATTTCTCATATTTCTTGTGCCTCTGTGGTTGTTTCTGGTCATCTGATGGATTATATGTTTTTTTCCTGGCTCCTAGCTAGACTGGGGAGCAGGAGGGTGAAGTCTATGCAGAGGGTCTTGTCTTTGGTGGTCGAAATCCCTGAAAAGGGCCATTTTTAACTGAAATGTAGGTAGTTGCTGATTGGGGCAGTTGGCCAGGCTGCAATCCCTTCTCCTCCATTCCTCTCTTGGGATTTTGGGTGTGTGCGCACGCGCGCGCACACACACACACGTGCCCAGTGTGAGTTTCAAGCCAGTGTGTCCAGGACTCAAACCACGGTCAGCCATGTAGGAGTCCCGCTTGTTAACCACTACACCACCTTCTGGCTGGGCCTTGAAAATTTTTAACTAAAAATTCAATTTCCTTAATAAATAAGATTTTCAGGTTATCTGTTTTCTTTTTGTTGTACTTTGATTATTTGGATCTTTCAAGGGGATTTTTCCATTTCATCTCACCTAAAGGCATCTCACTTATCAAATATAGGCATAAAGTTGTTCCTGGTATTTCCTTAATGTTCTTTCAATATCTGTAGACTCCAATAATGTCATTTTGTCATTTATGGTACTTGGCAAACTTTTAATATTAGAGATAAGATGTTTTGGATTGTTAGGTACTTTTGATTAATTGATCCTCTTGTCATCATGCAATGACCACTTTTATACTTAGTAATACTGTGTTCTCTAAAATCTGTATGATGTTGAAATAGTCCTTTAACATTCTTTTAATTAGTGTTAACATAGTATATATATATATATAATTTTCTCTATCCTTTTACTTCTCACTTACTTGTGGCTTTATCTTTAAATGCATTTCTTGTAGGTATCATATAATGGGTGGGGTCTTTTTAAGTTAAATCTTACAATCTTTGGCTTTAAATGGTATGTTAGACAAATTGTATTCAATGTGTTATTGCTAAGATTAAAGTCTATCATCTTATCTTTCAATTTGTTTTCAGTTTGTTGCTTTTGTCTCGTTTTTCTCTTCTTGTTTCTGCTGTCTTTTCATTGAGTAGTTTTTCATCTCTTTTGTGGCTTACTGACTGTAACTGGACTTGGAATGTGAGTATGATTTAATTGACTTACTAAGGATAGGCCAAGGTACCAATATTTCTTTAATGGATTTCTAGACTTATGTACCACTGGACTAGATGAGCTCTGTGGTTATTTCCAGCTTACTAGCTATGTGATTTTAGGCAAGTTACTTTATTCAATTTCCTCATCCATGACATGGGTATAATAAAATTTATCTAGAAGTTTGAATGTTTAAAATATTTTGAATAGTGCTCAGTTCACACTTCAAAAAGTACAAAATAATTCAGTATGTATTGTTTTATACTTTTTTGATTTTATCATAAATAATTTTGCATTAAATAGTTTTATTAAAGCTGTTTTCCAAAAACAACTCAGAACATTTTTTTCTTGTGAATATTGAAAGCTCTTTAAAAATCTAGTTTCCTGAGTTGTTAATATTATTCACATTTTAATTTTTAGGTTTGGTGTTATATTTGTAGTTTCTAGAGAAAGTAAGAATATTAGGTCACCGGGAAAGTCACGATCTACTTTCCTGCATTTTTCTATGCAAAAACGCGTCATGACTTTCCCGAAGACTCTGTATGTCAAATTTTTCTTGGTGCATAACAGGACTTTGCTGCATGATTTCAGAATAGGAATATGGCTTACAAAATCAATTTAATGCCTTTGTGTGTGTGTGCCTTTTTCCACAGGTTTTGATTCCCACCATGGCCATCACACAGTTTCGGTTATTTAAAGTTTGTACCTGCCTAGCAACAGTATTCTCATTCCTAAAGAGATTAATATGCAGGTAAATAAATTTTATATTCAAACCTACCTGTTTATTTCTTTGAAATAGAACAGATTATATTTAAGCTAAATATCTTGAATCTAGTACTCACTTATAAATTCCTAGCATTTTTTAAATGTTTCATTTTATACTTTAGAAAGTAGACGCTCAGTTGTTCCTGTTTGGACTTTTTGTTTTTTAATGATAGTGCACGTGTACACATGAGAAAGAAAGGTACACCATCAATAGGGTCTTATCATACCATGATTCCTTTCTCTAGTCCTCTAGATCATGAGCGCCCATGTACACATGTACCTTATGTGTTTTGGGCTAATGCAGGGATCTAAGCCTGTGGTTAGCCCTATGGCTTCCATCTTTTCAGGGCACTTGCATAACCACTGTGTGACATTGGGTGGGCCTGTTTCTTTGAAATTCTTACATCCTTAATATTACAGAATTTCAAAAGAAAGCAACCAACCTTCATTATTATGATCATCATGGAGTTTTTTTTGTTTTCATTTTTTTCGATTTTCCTATAGGATATATGTGCTTGCCAGAGAGACAAAGAAAGAGAGAAAGTGAGAAATCACCCTCCATGAGGGTTGGCCACATCACAATCCCTTCTCCTCCATTCTCCTCTTAGGATTTTGGGCATGCTGACACATGTGCCCAGCATGATTATCAAGCCACTGGATCTATGACTCAAACCATAGAGTTGGTCATGTGGAATCCAGCATCTTAACCACTGCACCACTTGCTGGCCCCATCATAGAGCTTTTATGTATATAGTTGTTTCATTATCAGAATGTTTTAAGGCGATTAGGTAAAATTAGGCATAGGTAGTTCTGTCTATACCACAATATGAATATTATTTGTTTCACTTTTCTCCATGCCACAGAGCATGTAGGCAAACATGAGAGAAAGAGACAGTGAGAAAGAAATCATCCCCAGTGGGGCCGATCACACTGCAACCCTTTATCTTCCAGTTCTTTAGTCTGTCAGGTTCCTGCTTGCCTGTGTGCTTGGCATATTTTCAAGCTGCTGGGCTGAGATTTGTATCCTGGTCAGCCATGGAGGATCCAGCTGCTTCTGTGTAGTTCTGAACTGCTCTGCTATAGGGCTGGCCTTATTTTTTCTGTCTCTTCACTTTGATTCTAAAATGTGCAGTTAGTCCAGGATAGGTAAGTCGTTCTGCTTTAGTAAGTCTTCTATAGACTCATTCCTTCCATCTTGTCACATGACTATACTGAAGAGCCATATGTGCTGAGCCACTCAGGCCTTTGGATGAAATTCACAAAGAGCCATAGGATTATTTTGCTTGTAGGTTTTTGCCATAGGACACATGCATTTACCAGAGAGGGACAGAGAAAGGGAAAGTGAGAAATCACTGCACACTCCCCTGCAAAGGGAGGATGGACATGCTCCAATCCCTTCTCCTCTAGTCTCTCCTCTTGGGATTTTTGGGCGTACACTCATATATACCCTGCATATTTTTCAACCAGCTGAATTTGGGACTTGATCCACAGTGGGCCATGTGGGAGTCTGGTACCTTAACCACCATACCACCTGCTAGCTCTGCCATAGGATATTTTAAAATTCCCAGTGAAAAACAGTTATAGTGATAGTCAGCATCCTTTGAATACTGTACCAATAATACTCAACTCGAGGTAGTTGACATTTGCAACATTAGGGTCTACAGTATTCTTCTTGATTATTTCTTGAATGTTTGAGGCAAATTTTTGTTGACTTATATTTCTGGAGATACATCTTTGCAAGACCAGGATTTTAGATTATAATTAAAAGCAAGTACTGTACCAAAATTAACATAGAACAGAAAATGAGGGTGGGATGTCTAATCTGATTCTAAGGCTTGACAAGTTGTATAGTGAGTAATAGACACCATTTTTCATTAGTAAGTAATTCTGGTTATTTAAGAAAGAAATAAAAATATCACTATAAAAATATTTTTGTGGGGGTCAGCAAGCGTGGTGGTTAAGGCACTGGATTCCCACATGGCTGACCAGGTTTAAATTCCTGGACCTGGCAGCTTGTTTTCTCACTTTCCCTCTCTTTCTCTCTGTACTTCTGGTGAGCACATGTGCCCTATAGCAAATTTAAAAATAATAATAATTAAAATTAAATAGTCTAAAAATTTTCAAATGGTTATTAAGCAGGTAAGATACATAAGTAGGGTCGAGACAGTGGCATGGTAAAACGTGACATTCCGTGAGGCAGTCCTATGAGAAATTTCCCAGTTCAAGTCTGGAGACCTCCCTGAGTATTCCAGGCATGCATTGCCCAGGCCCAGGGCTGGCTGAAGGCTGGGAGTAGATTGTACCATCAGAACCCTGTTAGGGGTGCTGTCTATTTGTCTTTGTTTTTCTCTCCCTATTTCTGTCCTTCTCTCTCATGGAAAAAATAAATGAATTCACTTTTTTTTTTTTTTTAAAGTTATTTGGTCCTAACTATGTAATCAAGGGACTGTGAGGTATCTTTTGACCTTGGAGTACTGTATAGAAAATTATTCACACTGTGGGAGTGGGGCAGGGTAAAAGAGGAAATGGAGGGCAATGGAGAGCTATCTTTTAGTGGATGTATTTTAGAAGTTAAACACAATTCTGTTTATAGTTTACTGTCCAGAGCTTAGTCTTATAGCCACCTAGCTACAAGAAAGCTAGGAAATGTAGTATCTAGTTAAACGTCCCTTTGATAGCTGTCAAAACTCAAAAATAAGTGTCATTGAATTTACTGTTGTAAGTAAAATGGTGTGGATATATATATATGCATTACAGGTGAAAACAGCTGGGTGAAACAGAGTAGAAATGATCACTGGAGGAGGACAGCTCAAGAAAGAAATAGACAATTTAGATGATTGACTGTTGAAATCATGCAAGAGGACAGGATTTGGAAAGTATTATAGAAGAAAATAGGGAACCAAATGTTCATCAGAGAATGAGAAGGAATTGCTAGTTATTTAGTAGATAAAGCAAGATAAAAATGGGTACTAATTGCTAAAACTAGGAGGTTAAAAGAAGTAGTTAATAGTGCTGATGAATTTTTAGACTTTTTTGCATATGTCTTTGCTAAGATTTCTGTTGACTATGATTGCTTTTTGAGTAAGAAATTATGTTTGATTTAAAAAATATTAAGGCTATTCCTATTGTCACGGTAACTTACTATTATCAACGTAACCATATTTGGGATTGATAACGTTCAGTTTTAATGAAAAGTGACTGTTTGTTAGTATAAAGTGATCGTAGGTATCAGAAGGAGCCTAGGTCCAGTGTTGTAAGTTTTGTAATATACTGTAACACTTTCCCCTTTTTTTGTAATTATCAGAGGTCATGTGTGCTTACCAGAGAGAGTGACAGCACACTCCCTAATGGGGCGTGGTCATATTTTTTTTTCTTCTATTTCTCTATCCCATCAGGATTCTGAACATAGTTACACTTGGCATGTTTTTCAAGTGACCAGGGCTGGGCTTCGAATCAGTCAGCCATATGGAATCTGGTTCCCTGTACTCGTTTAATTGCTACACCACAGGGCTGGTCCTATAATAATTTTATGTTTATTCTTTCAACAAAATACTTAGAATCTAGTAATAAAAATACCTGACTTTACCAATTAGCTCTAAGTAGATGCTGTATAGATTATTTGAAATGAAGTAAATGACTAATCATTTTTAATACTTGGAGTTCTTTAATTAAAAGAATTTTAACCGTTCTTTAAATTTTTGCTATGTAGCAGGCACTATCTAGGTACTTTAAATATGTTACTTAATTCCTCACAACCCTTCAAAAGCAAGTTTGAATACCTGCATTTTGCAGATGAGAATGTTATAAGAAGTTAGCAGATTCCATAGACTCTAGAGAAATAACTTTGAAAGCCGTGCTTTACAGGTTCCATGTATCACATTCTCTACCATCGTGGTATAGTACACGCTGTTCTATGTTATTCTTTTCCTATGAGTCCTTAAGACTGTTACAGTTTAGTTCAACCCAGTGACTTTCAAACTTTTTAATAGTTTATTAGTTTATGTTACCAAAAAAAAAAAAATTCAGTTTGTGAAACATAAAAAAGCTAAGCCATCCTGGTTAAAAATATCATGGTCCCAGAGTTTGACCTATAGAATCTCAGCATTTCTAGAGTGTGGTTGAGGTAGATAACTATATAGAATTTTTTTTTTCTTGCTTTATGGTCCTTCTGGGTTTGTTTATAATTCTGAGTCCTCTGCCAAACAGCAGCTGTGTGTTGTTCTAGGATTTTTAAAAACATTCACAAGGTGTCTGATTTATACATTTTCTTTTCACCTTAATAAGCAGTAATTTCAAAGTTGACAGATTTTGTTTTGCAAGTTTTAAATTATAGTCCATAATACTTTTTACTCATGTTTATTTTAGTAGTTCTTCAAATTATATTTTAAATTTTTGTTTTAGATCTGGCAGAGGACGGAAGTTAAGTGGAGACCAAATAACGTTGCCAACTACAGTTGATTATTCATCAGTTCCAAAGCAGGTAATTTTTTTTTGAAAAGATAAAGTGTTACAGGACAGTGCATTTCAAGTTGGGTTATAGACCATTTACTGTAGTTTAGTAAAATCTATTTGGTAGTCAGTATTTTTGTTGCTGTTATATTTTTTAGTTATAACATTTCTATTTGGCTCATTTTATTTTTTGTTTGTTGGATATCATCTTCTGTTTTGTTCTCCCCATTTTTTAAGTGTTTGCTGTTGCTTGCTGGAGCATTTTTATAGTAGCTGTTACAAAGCTATTTTTTGGTTTGTTTTTGTTTATATTTTGTTGTTTTTTTAAAGCAATATTTTTTTAAAAATGTCTTAAACTCATCATCTCAGGGTTGGCATCTATCAAATTTTTCCGTTTAATTGAGGTTTATTGATTCTTTGTATGCTAAATAATTCTGGATTGTTTCATTAACATTTTAATATTATGTTTTAAGACTCTTATTTAAATTCTGTGGATAATGTTGTTTTTTGTTAAATTAGACAATCGGTCTGTTTAGGCTTAGGTGAAAAGTTCTAGTCCCTTTCCTCTGGGCTTCTAGTTCTAATGTCAACCAGTTTTCAAAGCATTGCTTTATTATACTTTGTTTTTGTTTTTGTTTTGTAATGGACAGTATAGGATAAAATAGAACAGAACAAAATATATAAGTAAAAGTATTTCTTTAACTTTTGATAACTTTGGTTATGTGATATAAAATGTATATATTCCTGTTAGTCAAAAAAAGTTTGGGCACTTGGAGTCAAGAGAAATAACTTTGAAAGCCGTGCTTTACAGGTTCCATGTATCACATTCTCTACCATCGTGGTATAGTACACGCTGTTCTATGTTATTCTTTTCCTATGAGTCCTTAAGACTGTTACAGTTTAGTTCAACCCAGTGACTTTCAAACTTTTTAATAGTTTATTAGTTTATGTTACCAAAAAAAAAAAAATTCAGTTTGTGAAACATAAAAAAGCTAAGCCATCCTGGTTAAAAATATCATGGTCCCAGAGTTTGACCTATAGAATCTCAGCATTTCTAGAGTGTGGTTGAGGTAGATAACTATATAGAATTTTTTTTTTCTTGCTTTATGGTCCTTCTGGGTTTGTTTATAATTCTGAGTCCTCTGCCAAACAGCAGCTGTGTGTTGTTCTAGGATTTTTAAAAACATTCACAAGGTGTCTGATTTATACATTTTCTTTTCACCTTAATAAGCAGTAATTTCAAAGTTGACAGATTTTGTTTTGCAAGTTTTAAATTATAGTCCATAATACTTTTTACTCATGTTTATTTTAGTAGTTCTTCAAATTATATTTTAAATTTTTGTTTTAGATCTGGCAGAGGACGGAAGTTAAGTGGAGACCAAATAACGTTGCCAACTACAGTTGATTATTCATCAGTTCCAAAGCAGGTAATTTTTTTTTGAAAAGATAAAGTGTTACAGGACAGTGCATTTCAAGTTGGGTTATAGACCATTTACTGTAGTTTAGTAAAATCTATTTGGTAGTCAGTATTTTTGTTGCTGTTATATTTTTTAGTTATAACATTTCTATTTGGCTCATTTTATTTTTTGTTTGTTGGATATCATCTTCTGTTTTGTTCTCCCCATTTTTTAAGTGTTTGCTGTTGCTTGCTGGAGCATTTTTATAGTAGCTGTTACAAAGCTATTTTTTGGTTTGTTTTTGTTTATATTTTGTTGTTTTTTTAAAGCAATATTTTTTTAAAAATGTCTTAAACTTATCATCTCAGGGTTGGCATCTATCAAATTTTTCCGTTTAATTGAGGTTTATTGATTCTTTGTATGCTAAATAATTCTGGATTGTTTCATTAACATTTTAATATTATGTTTTAAGACTCTTATTTAAATTCTGTGGATAATGTTGTTTTTTGTTAAATTAGACAATCGGTCTGTTTAGGCTTAGGTGAAAAGTTCTAGTCCCTTTCCTCTGGGCTTCTAGTTCTAATGTCAACCAGTTTTCAAAGCATTGCTTTATTATACTTTGTTTTTGTTTTTGTTTTGTAATGGACAGTATAGGATAAAATAGAACAGAACAAAATATATAAGTAAAAGTATTTCTTTAACTTTTGATAACTTTGGTTATGTGATATAAAATGTATATATTCCTGTTAGTCAAAAAAAGTTTGGGCACTTGGAGTCAGCAGCTGGCATGATGGTTAAGGTGCTGGATTCCCCTGTGGCCAATAACTATTCTAGTCTCGGACCCAGCATCTTGAAAATCACACAGAGCGCATGTGTGTGCATGTCTAAAACCCCAAGAAGAGAATAGAGGAGAAGGGATTGTTGTGTGGCCTCTCCCCACCCTGGTGCAGGGAGAGTGATGTGTTACTTTCCCTCTTTCTGTCTCTCTTAGGCGAGCACATGTGCCCAATGGCAAAAACAACATAAGTTTGAGAACTAATGTTTAGAAAGCCCATTTTTCTAATAAATAGTTAATGAGATAGATGTTCATTAGATAATATGTCAAAAGGTGTTGATTTGTTAAATGTAGACAGATGTTGAAGAGTGGACTTCTTGGGATGAAGATGCACCCACAAGTGTAAAGATTGAAGGAGGGAATGGAAATGTGGCAACACAACAGAATGCTTTGGAACAACTGGAACCTGACTATTTCAAGGACATGACACCAACTATAAGGAAAACTCAGAAAGTATGTGAACAAATTTGTGTATTTTGTGATTGAATTATCATACTCCTGTAGTTAAAATTAGATAGCATTTATAATTAATTATAAATAAGAAATGACAAAATAAAATAGAAAAAAATTTAAAAGTTACACAGTATAGTTGGTATTTATTATACCATCTATTTCTTATTATGAATTTCTAATTTTTTCTGTTATTTTAAATCAGGATTTTATATATTCAAGTTACCTAGACATAGATCTAATAAGTTGTACCCCGAGTCTTATAAAAGTATAGTGAAGGTTTACTGAAATTCTATATGTCAGATTCTATACTCCGGTCTCTGCTATGTATACGAAGCTGAATAAGATAACAGTTCTAATAAGTTCATAGTTTAGTGATATCTTCAAACTGACAAATAGTTTCTATTGTTTATAACCATTATAAAACTATTGCAGGAATCTGAGAACTTAGTTATGGTTCGTGTTAGTCATCCATTCTTTAACCCCTTTTAAGGTGAATATGGAAGTTCACTTACAGATGCTAGGAATTATTGGAAAAAGCACAATGACTGAGTATTTTCCTTTCTTAGTTTGGATTATTTTTCTTAATATTTATTTTATTTATTTATTTATTCTATGAAACATAGAGAGATGAAGAGAGATAAATAAGTACCCCGAAAAAGAGCTTCTTGCCATGATCCAGCCTCAACCAACACAGATAGACTTAGACACACGTATGCATAGTTGACTTGCATATGGAGACCTCAAGATGTGAACCTGGGACCTTCCCATGTGATTTCAGCATAGCAAATTGTTGTGTTTCTGCTGTACCACCAGCCAGCCCCTGTTTTCCTTTTTATCAAAATAGTACATATATGGGTCAGCAGGTGGCATGGTGATTGGAGCATTGTACTTCCACATGGGCCACCACAGTTTGAGTCCCAGACCTGACGGCTTAAAACTCGCTGTGGGTGCATGTGAACGCTTGCCCAAAACCCGAAGACGAAGGTAGAGGAGAAAGAATTGCAGCATGACCACACACACACACACCCCAGGGAATGATTTCTCACTTTCCCTCTTCCTGTTTTTGTCCTTCTCTGGTGAGTGCATGTGCACTATGGCAAAAACCTTAAAAAAAAAAAAAAAAAAAAAAAAAAAAAGAAAGAAAGAAAGAAAGAAAGAAAGAAAAATAGTACTTGTACTTTATTTTTAATCAAACAGTGTAGAAGGGCTGATAATGAGAAGCGACAGACTTTGCCTCATTGTCTTAGCAGCTCTACTTCCCAGAAGCAGTCATCAGTAACTTTTCTGTTTGGTGTTCTAATGTTTGCCATCATTTCTATATATAAGATGCTTATATTGCTTTTCCTTGATTTACTAGTCACAGATCCTGTCCATTGATACCATACTGTGGAAAATGAGGATTTATTTCCTATTACCCTTTTCACATTTATTACCCTTCCAGAATTGTAATGATATCATTCCAGTCTGCCTTACCAGTCACTCTCCTGTTTCAAAAAAGCACACTTTAGGCTCCATTTCTTATTTGGTCAAACATAGAGAATATTTCCTTTATATATGCATTATAAAATGAGGCCATTACTTACTTCACACTTCCTAATACATAGTTCTTCATCCTCTTCTACCTCTCAATTAATTTCAGCTGTACATTTATTTTTTTACATTATCTAGGTTGATAACACATTTCATTTTGTCAGGTTGTCCAAATATCCCAATCCCCAAAAGCACTATATTGTGTATTGTTTTTAAGAGAGATTTTTGCCATAGGGTATGTGCACTCACTCACCAGAGAGACAGAGGGAGACAGAGAGAGAGAGAGCAAGAAATAACCCCCCAGGCGGGATGGTCATGCTGCAATCTCTTCTCCTCCATTTTCCTCTCTGGATTTTGGGTTCTTAAGCACATGAGCCCAGTGTGAGTTTTAAACCACTGGGTCCAGTGCTTGAACCACAGTCGATTACCTGGGAGTCCAGCGACATAACCGTTACATCATCTACTGGTCCCAAATTGTGTATTTTTTTAAGGGTTCCTTAACCAAGTTTCTCCGTTGCTGGATACCTTGTTCTGTGGAAGCATATTGCAGTAATGCTTTACTAAATAATTAGAATGCAAATGCTTATAGAGAGAACTACAAAATATCAAATGTATTTTAATATGACTGACCTGAAAGAGTTAACATATTCATAGATACCCTGCATACCAAGGGTTATACCTTTGGCGTGATACGATACATGTTATTATTTAATAAAGTAATAAAATGTGACTAATTATATTTTGGATGTCTAGAGAAAATAGGGAAAAAAGAAAGGTGTTGCAAGTTTATTATTTTTTAAAGAAATAAAATACAGGGGCCAATAGGTGGCATAGTAGTTAAGGCACTGTATCCCACATGGCTAACTTCCTGGTTCAAGTCCTGGACCAGTGACTTGAAAAACACTTCAGGTCCTTGTGCAAGTATCCCCAAACTCCTGAGAGGAGAATGAAGAAGAAGGGATTGTGACATGGCCATCCCCCACTAGACAGTGATTTCTTACTTTCCCTCTCTCTCTCTCTGTCTCTGTGGAAAGCACATATGCCCTATAGCAAAAACACAATAATAATAATAAAAAAAAGTGAAATACAAAATTTCTTATATGTAACTGATTTGAATGACAATTGCCTGGGAATTTTGGTACTCTGCATTTTTTCAGTTTTTACATTATAAATTAAAAAAAGATGAACATATTTTAAGTAATCACAGGGTACTTTGGTGATTCATCTGTTTTTGTACAGTGACATGTAGACTATCCCTATAATTCTATTTCAATTAATCTTTCAGATTGTTATTAAGAAGAGAGAACCATTAAATTTTGGCATCCCAGATGGCAGCACAGGTTTCTCTAGTAGATTAGCTGCTACACAAGACATGCCTTTTATTCATCAGTCTGTAAGTATGTTAATGAATTTTGGCATTGACTTGGTTATATTTCTGTTTTCTATAGAGAAGAAGGGGAAAATATAAATGAATTGAATGTATTATTTATTTGTTTATTTATTTTTGTAATTTTGAAATAGTATTAGCAGTTTGAGAGTTCATTTGGAGTTTTACCAGTCCTAAACTTTCATGAGATTATCAGTTACATCAGATACGTAAGATCATGATTCCATTGTATACATGAAAGAGGGATAAAATATTGAAAAATATGAACTTCAGAGAGATTACCACTAAAGAAGGAAATTAACATTAATAGCAGGTTATTTAAAATGAGTTATAGGGACCAACAGTTAGCATAATGGCTATGTTGCTGGTCTCCCATATAGTCGACCATGATTCTAGTCCTGGACCCAGTGGCTTAAACTCATGCTGGGCACGTGTGTGTGTGCACCCAAGATCCCGAGAGGAGAAGGGATTGCAGCGTGGCCATCCCCCCTGGGGGGTGATTTCTCACTTTCTGTCTCTCTGTCTCTCTGGCGAGTTCACAAGCCCTATAGCAAAAATCTCTCCAAAAAAAAAAAATGAGTTACAAATCATTTTTCTGGTAGATTTACCTTTAATGGGTGATATGACTTAATATGAGTTTGACTCAAACTTTTTAAAGGAAAAAGTAATGAAATAGATAAAATGGCTAGGATTCTCAACCTTACCGTATTAGAATCAGCTTTGGATTATTTTGTTTGTTCTTTTTTTTTGTTTTGTTTTGTTTTGTTTTTGGAGAGGTTTTTGCTATAGGGCACGTGCACTTGCCAGAAAGATAGAGACAGAGAGATAATGACTTTCTGTGGCATGTTCCTTTAAGTTATATACTGTCACTTCCACATTAATTTATTAGAAACTTGTCACTAAATTGTAGCCCACATACAGAGGGAGAGTTATTAAACTAACTCTTGAAGAAAGGAATATTTGTGGATAAATTGTGTTTAATGCCACATCTATCTGTCTGCACTCTATTTTACTTGTTTAAACTGCACAAGTGCTTTTCAGGCTCCTCTCCCCAGGGGACCCATATTTATGTATGTTTTTAATTTTGTCATCATCACTTGTTGCTATTAATACTAGACCCCAGTGTAGGTGCTAATGATCCACTGCTAAGTAAATTGAATAGGCAAAGTCCTCACTTCAGAAAAACGCTTCATAGTAGGGAGACTATTAAATAAATTACTACATATGTAAATGTAATTACTGAAATATTGGTAACTCCTCTACAGGTACATGATCCTATATTAGCATAAAATAGAATAGATAAATCTAAATAATAGAGCATCATGATGTTTAATTTTTAAATTTTCTATTTCTCAGTTTCAAACTTGATTCATGTGTTTGATCCAATCCATGTTGGTAAAGTAGTTCTATCTTACCTAGGTAATGAATAATGTTTGCCACCTAACTGTAATTATGTTATCTAATACTAATATAGTTTATTGTGAAGGTCTAAATGTATAGCCACAGGCAGAGTTGGGTGTGTAAGTAGTGTAGGTGAGGAATGTCTCCAATGCTCTGTCCATGTATTTTTCTCCCAAGCAAACAAAACAAAGGGGCATTGCATAGGAGAGAATGGTAACCTTCTACGCTTTGTTCTCAACACCAAAAATACCTCCCTTTAAGTCTACAGATTAAACTGCATTGTTTTTTTCCTTCTGGAATTCACTATTTGTATTGTTGGAAGAGCTCTTTTTATGCCAAGGATATTAACTTTTTTCTGTCATCTTTTGACCTTTTTCAGTTTGTTGTTGGATTTATAATTTGGTTTGGGTGTTTTTGATAGGCAGATCTGTCCATCTTATTCTTTACAACTTTTTTAATGTAGAAGGGCATCTGTACTAAAGGATTACATACAATCCTTTTATAAATGGTTGAGTAGTTTCACTTTCTCTTTTTAAATGGTGCCAGTTGCTTTATATACAAAATCGCTTCTGCATCTAAGTAAACATCTCAAAATGACCATTTTCATTGGTTTTATTTGGGGGGAAGTGAACTTTCCATGACTTGGCTTTAGGAATAGTGGAATGTAGTGATCATCCTGATTATTTTAGGTAAGTAGGACAGGGAAGAGGAAGCGTTATATAGAAGAAATATTCTGATAAAAGATAAACTTTTCCTGATTTGTCATTTTTCCCTCAGATTGACACAGTAAGTACCACTGAAAAATATTCTCTAAAATATGTATGCGTAATGAAGATGACTATATTCGTTTGGAAACCTCAGCTGTGTGCAGCTCTCTTCAGCATAGATTAATGCAGTCAGACATTTCTACTTCAGTCTGGAATCAGTTGATCACTTTCTCTCCAACCCTATCCCTTCCTCAAAAGAGAGAGAAATAGAAAAAGTATTCCATCAAACTAAAAGAAGAAAATTTAGAATAAAAGAGTGTTGTAAACATAAAATAGAAAGAAAGCTAGACTTGGCCAGGATTGTTAACAGTGAAAACCATGCGTCACGAGGAACTCCTCAGTTCTAGGCATAACCGGGCCCAAATTGTTTTGCCTTATATAGGACGTAGTAAGGAAATCAAGAAGCCACAGGAGGGTGACAGGTTCTGGGTTTTATTTTAAAAGAAACCTTTTAACTACTACGTGGAGAAAGGGTACCGTTTTACTATCTTAATTTTGTTTTATTTTTTCATTGTAGTCCGAGTTAGGTGACTTAGATACTTGGCAAGAAAATACCAATGCATGGGAAGAAGAAGAAGATGCAGCCTGGCAAGCTGAAGAAGTTCTGAGGTATCTGAGTGCTATTTGTGTTACATCTTGAATAGAAGTAGATTCATTTCATGTTGGATTTAAGGTCTAGGAGGTCTAGTCTGTCAAATAGTATATTTTTCTTCATCCTTTCTCATTTGAATCTTAGATAATATAAAATTTTTTTGCTATTTCAGATAACATAATGCCATTTTCTATGACTAAAGCCTCACAGAAATCAAGAATTTAAAGCATTATAGGAGCAAAAGAAAAATAAATGTATTATGGTAAATGAAATATTTTACATAGGCTTATATACTTATTACAATCTTGGTACATCCCATTAGGAAATGTGAGCCACCACTCTGTATTCTTCTGGGTCAGAAATGAAAACTTTGTTTTCATTTCTTCATGGTCTAGAATGGTGCCTAGCACTACATATTCGAATTAAAATAATTTCTGTATGCACTCTGCTTTTGTCCATATATCTTAATTGATGTCCATAAAAGCTCTATTAGGTGTAGATAATAGAAGTCATTCTGCAGAAAAATAAATTTTATTCTGGGGCCTTAATTTTTGTTGGCTACGTTCTTGTTTCTTTGTTTTAGTAAACAATATACTTAGCTTTCGCTATGGCTACATTAGGTCAAAAAGTAAGGGGAAAATTTATCTTAAGGGATAGCTTGTAACTATGATCTAGTCTATGTTTATATATAGACTAGCAATTAAATATAGTAAATGTAAATTACTATGCATTCTTTTTTAAAACATTTTTTCCAGAAATATTTTAATAAAAATTGTCCATTTCCAAGAAACACACACTGCATGCCCATCAATAGAAGAGAACGATAGCAAAATAGAAAATCTACCTCATGGGTATGATTTAAAGAGGAAAAGCTGCAGACACTTGAGTACATCAGCAAAATGCTATATTAAAGTCATATTCCTTCTTATGTGCTAAGAGTTTGATTATATACCGATAATTATATACTTAATATAAACGCTGAACTATTTAGGTTGAAGGACCACTATGGAAGCATCTGTCATAAATATATAGTAAAATGCAATATAAGTTTTTCTTTTTAATTTTGAAATGAAGATTGTTTTTACCATAGGGACAGAAAATCAATTACCTTTTATTCAACTCTCTTAATAAAACAATTGGGGTTAGCAGGTGGCATGGTGGTTAAAGGTGCTGGGCTCCTACACAGGCAAAGGTGGTTCACATCCTGGACCCAGCGGCTTGAAAATCACTCTGGGTGCTTATGCATGCATGATCAAATTCCCGAGAGAATGGAGGAGAAGGGATTGCTGTGTGGCCATCCCTTGTGGAGAGGGGTGGATAATTTCTCACTTTTCCTCTCTCTGTCTCTCTCTCTCTCCAGTGAGTACACATACCCTATGGGAAAAACATTAAAAACAATTTTAAAATAATCTATAAATATTTTTTCTTTTCTTTTCTTTTTTTTTTACAGTTACTTTGAACAACCACCAGAGGGCACAGTTAAATAACCAAAAGTTATGGCTGGCATTTTTTTTTTTTTTTTTTTTTTCCCCTGTTTTGGGATTTGTCCTTCCTGTTTTCAGCCTGTCCTTTTTTTCTTTTTTTTTTTTTGGATGGGCTGGGAGGGTCACATTTTAAAATTAAGTCTGTAAAATGGTGAGGTTTTTGTTTGTTTGTTTTTCTCTTTAAGTTTTTCTTTCTTCTATGAGCAAGAGAAAGAGACAGGCATACCCAACAGAGTCCCCATGCTGTGATCCACCCCTGCCCCAGTCAGCCCCAGATCCTGGGCACACATAAACCTGCATGTTCAGGGAGGTCTCCAGACACAAACATGGAACCTTCTCAGGTGGATCCACCTCACAGTGTTGAATTACTGCTACACCAGTATCTGACTCCACCAAATTGTGAGAGTTTTTAATACAGTTAGATGCTGCTAATGACATGTTGAGAAATTTGTCATTAGTCAATTTTATTATTTTGCTGAAATCAGAGTTTACAAATGCAAACCTAGACTGTGTAGCCTACTACACATCTAGCTGTATGGTATAGCCTATTATTCAGTATAATCTTATGCGGCCACCATTGTAAAGACGTTCTGTCATTGACTGAAATGTCCTTATGTGGCATGTGACTATTTAGTTTCTATTTAGTCAGTATAACTGTCTTTTATAAAGGAAATATGTTTTAATTGTGTACTGTAACATTTATGCTACATGGATCATCAAAAAAGGTGTCATCTTTTTATGAATTATAAATACAGAAGTCTGAGTATTTTAGAATGATTTGGAGATTTAATGACTATTAATGTCACTAACCACGAGGATAAAGGAAGGGGCTGCTCAGTGATGTTAATGATAGCAACGCAGAATTTATGGCTGGGTTTGTGAGTATCTTAATACCGATTGCACAAAAACTTCTGTTTTTCCATCTTTTTGCTCCCCAAACAAGTGAAAACAAATGAGATTTATACTATTATTACAGCTTATAAGAATAAGACTATTAATAATAGACATGCTTCATACTACAAGTTGTATAAATAGAACCAAAGGACCTGGAAGCTTCCATACATCCTTACTGCCCCAGAAGAACACTCAGCATTTTAAAAGTATATCCTTACTGTGGACTTTTTTTCCCACCCACTGCCACCATAAACTACTTCCGGTACTGATCAGTATTGTTAAAGAAGAAGATTCTGGTACTTCAGTTAATTCTGGGTATGAATCTAGAGAGGTAAAATGTATTTTGCTCTGCAGTGATCTCTAAATTGTTTCTTGTGCCAGGAACATGAGTTGTTGATATTTGTATTTCAGTTGATAACCATATCAAAGTGTGGTCATCTTACTTGTCTATAACATAGCTACTCCTTTATATTTCTTTTCCTATTTCCCATTTTACAGCTGGTATTTAATTTTTTTTTAGTGTACATTATCTATTTTTCTTGAAACTGAGCAGAGGTAATGAAAGTCAATTTTAATTCTTTTTTTTTTTTTTTTTTTTAAAGCTTTTGGCCATAGGGTGCATGCGCTCAAGGGAAAGACAGAGGAAAACCGAGAAATCATCCCCTTTCCCCAAGGGCCAATTCCTCTCCATTCTCTTCTGTTGTTAACATTAGGAGATTTAATTCTCAGTATCGAGCTTTTCTGAATGGTATCCCCAAAATGGTGTGGTTCAATGGGGGTAATGTTTTAGTGGAAACAATCTGAAGAGAAGTCAGAGGATATGGGTTCTTATCCCCCTACTTAATCCTATGACTTTGAGTAAGTCATCAAGCCTTTCTGCCTCACTTATTTGTAGAGTAATATGTGTTTTGCGAGTCATGTTCTAAGGATTAAAAGCAATACTATTTTAGAAAATCTTTGAAATTTTCAAGGCAGTGAGAAGGTTCAAGACTAATATTTATTTAATGGTAGTAAAAGGGCACTGTTACTTCTTTCTGGAATTTATTTGTCATTTTCCTTGTATGATATTTTGTAAAAGTAAAAATATGAGTATATTCTTCTCAGGCAGCAGAAAATCGCAGACAGAGAAAAGAGAGCGGCAGAACAACAAAGGAAGAAAATGGAGAAGGAAGCACAACGACTAATGAAAAAGGAACAAAATAAAATTGGTGTGAAACTTTCATAACAAATGTTCTTCAAATGTGATAGTGCCAGTAGGAGAAATCTGACCTCCACAACCCAAGCAGCATTTGTATGGATTTCAGAGTATTTTCAGAATACATATATACAGCGTGACTGTAATACCTTCGTCAGTCCATCCAGGACACCAGGATTCTTTTAAAGTACGTTGAATTCTAGTGATCGAGACGCAAAAGACCTAAACAGACTTACCAGACAGCATTTTCTTCAACATGCTCCAAATATAAGACACTTGTTTGCTGTAGAGAAATAATTAAAAATGGAATATACCAGTACCTCTCCAGCTAGTTTTCTAGCTAAATAAATGGGTGTAAATAATTTTATGGTGGAAAAGGACTCTACTGTCTATTATGCTTTCCTTCAATGTGTGTAATGATAAAATAAATAATTTTAACTATTATTTCGTTTCTATGATTACCTGACCTAAATGAGACAAATTGCAGGGTTTTAACCTCCTTATTTTTGTTGTCAGAAGCTGGTGTTGTCATCCATTTCCTCTTATTTGAACTGGTATTGCTTGTTTAACACAGTATTAAGGAATTTGATTATTTTGGTTTTCAAAAAACTGACATTAAATGCAATAATTTTATTTATCATAAAGATTTTATACATAATTTTTTTAATGGTATAACATTATCCCTATTTGTAATTTATATTGCATGTATAAACATTGCAAATCGGCAACAAATTTGTTATACATTATTATAGCTAGTGAATTTTAGGAACTAATAGTGTAAATTTTCCCTTCATTATAGATTTTAAAATGTTATGTGTCTTTAATTACCTTAGTTCTTCCTCTCCCTGAAAAAGCCATTTTACAAATGCAGGAAACCTTCTGTTTTGATTTTCATACCTTTTAAATGATTTCTGTGTCAGTTTTGTGTATCTGACCTAATGCAGGTTACCTATGTTATTGACAAAGAAAACATTATTTATTTATTAAATTATAAACTGGAATAGGGATAATAATCTATTATTTATAAGATTGATTATCTCCGAAATAGTTGCATACTATGTTCTTGGGTTGGGGGGAAACATAGGTTTGATTGTTTAAAATCCCATGAACTTTTTCTTCACAATTAAAATGTATCCAACCTGACTTTCTATGGCTTTAGAATTTTTCAAGATTTTTACTTGTTAAAAGTTACTGCCCAAAATTAACACTCTACAGGCCAAATATTACTAATATATTTGAAATAAAATAACATTTCATAGTAAAAGCATAAACTGGGACCAGCAATTAGCGTAATGGCTATGTCGCTGGACTCCCATGTAGTCGACCGCAGTTCGAGTCCCGGACCCGGCGGCATAAACTCAAGCCAGGCGTGTGTGTGCGTGCGTGCCCAAGATCCCAAGAGGAGAATGGAGGAGAAGGGATTGCAGTGTGGCTCTCCCCCCTGGGGGTGATTTCTTGCTTTCTGTCTGTCTCTCTCTGTCTTTCTGGCGAGCACACGCGCCCTATAACAAAAAACCTCTCCAAAAAAAGAAAAAAGCATAAACTGCAGTGAGAGCTCCCTAAGTCCTTAGCTTAAACTTTTAGATTAAATGTGATTGTAAATCACTCGGAATTTAAGTTCAGTAGAAAACTCATTAAATCCCAAACATCATTTTCAGTGATACTTATTAGTGTTCTACATATAAACTTCAAATTGAATAGAATCGGACCCAAATTTTTAATAATGACTGTATTCTCTTCCCCTCTTTATATTACTACATTTTTCCCCAAATTTGGGGTTCATAAAGGATAACTCTCTTTAATACAATTACTGCTCTTTTCTAATAGTTAAAAACTACTGAAGTCTGCTTTGATTATGATTTTCATGTGTGTGAGGTTTTTTATTGTCTGGTTGTTTGGTTTTTGATTAGAAATAAAGACTGATTAGAAGTTACAGTTTACTTTTGACAGGAAGTGGATGAATATGGAAGACTTACTGCTGAGTGAAGCAAGTCATGCTATGAAGGAGAGGCATTGTATGTCCCCACTTAATATATACTGAGTGTCTGCACTCTGTGACTGAAACTAATGGTCTAAAGGATATAGAAACACAGTATATAGATATAAATACCAGATATAGTATGTGTGAAAGAAGAAGGTCTGAGGAAGGGCATTTGGGGGAGGGACAGGGAGGAAAAGCATTAATGGCACGAAGAGGTGTGGTATTATCTGTTGAAGATATTTCATAGTGTTATCAGCAGTACTAGGGAGAAATGTTCATCTGTTGAAATATCCATCTTGTAAGACAAATAATAATGTGATTGAATGTATGGAAGAAAATGAAATGAAAAAAAAATATTTTGAAAAAAGAAAAAAATAACTGGCAAAGAGATTAAAAAGGATACTATCTAATGATAAATGGGTCAACTCATCAGAAAGATACAGCAATTATAAACCTATATGCACCCAACATCAGAACACTGAAATAAATGAAAATACTTGATACAAAAGAAAAGTAGGATTTTTTTTCTTTCTGTCATCAATAAAAATTGCATGCCTCTAATGAAGTAAAAGAAAAATTTTTAAAAAAGATGATTATAAAATATTTAAGGTAACATGTTGACATTTTAACTCATCGTGATTTATTTCCTCAGTATAAAATAAATTTCACAAATAAAAAAAAAGAAGTTACAGTTTAGATGATTACTTAGGAAGAAACAAATTTTTCTTACAGAAAGAATAAACTTAGAATTGTTTGGCCTTCATTGATGGTGTAAACTAAATTCTCATATGTATGGGTATACAAGTGAAGTAATTGTCCCAATAGAAGTCATTGAGTTAAATAGATGTGATAAAGACTTCTCCTTTAGTCCCTAAATTTATGGTTTGTTTTCTTAATTTTAATAAGGAATTACCAATTTTAGAAGCAAATTAGTAGAAGTAAAGAAATACAGGCAGGTTCTGATAGAATTTGTAAAGTTCTACCCATTTTTGGATTGTGCATTTTATGTACTGAAATAATTATCAAAGACATGTGAAATGTATTTCATGTTCTTTATAAATATGTTTTATGGTTTCCAGCCATTTTCTCAGTTTAAGCTTTAGCTGGGGATTTACTCTCCTGTTTTTTTGTTTTGTTTTGTTTGTTTGTTTTTTTAGTAGCAGATTTAATTGAGTTGACATTTTATAATTGACCATTTAAAATTCTATAGCTGTGTTTCTCAGTTTTGACATGCACTTGCCTCTGTGGTCCAGGGCCATTATTATTCCGGAATGTAGATTGCTGGTTGGGAAGAAGATAGTAGCTATAGAAACCGCTATCTGGATCAAGTTTCCAAAACCATTACACAGGCTACCACCATGATGTAAACCTAACCATAGCCAATGTTCTAAGCATTATTTTGTCAATAATGTTTTTATTAAAGAAATTATCTGGGCCAGATACAGCTAATTCACACATTTCTTTATTTGAGATAATCCGTTTGCAATGATTTTAGCCTCTTGTTCAAAGGAGATCTTGCATTGGATGTACAGACAAATAAAACAGATAATGAGTTGAGTGTTTCTGGCCTTGGGAAGGTGGATGCAGGATTATTTCAGGAAAGGCACTTCTACCAACCCTTTTGACTCAGCATTTTATAAAAATGGAAGATGGTAGGTCCATAAAAAGCATAATTTTGTAAGTAATAATTTATACTCGTTTTGGCAACTTACAAAGAATTATTATTTAATGGTAGTTCTGATATCAAAAAGAGACCCATTTTTTCCTTTTGTATAATTTTCCTTTACCTTTCTTTAAAGTAACCAAGGCTTTTCCAAGGTTACAACAATGGCTCAGGATTGTACTCAACTGCTTTTTTGGATTTGTTTTTAATTCTTCCTACTTGTGACCTCCAGTGCCCCTTAGCCATGGCCACTAGGCATGCTCAGTATCCTGTTTTGAAAACTAGTAAGATGGTTTTTAACAGAAGCATCAATCTTCTAGGTTGAAAGAAACGCACTGTCTTAGGACAACCCCCAACCCCTATATGAAGGATTTCTGTTTATCTTGCACACCTGCTGTTGACAGTGCTGATTCACACAGGAGACTTTGCAGAGAAATTTGCACTGAAAGTTTGTAGCCGAAGATAGTCTCAGCCTTCTGTTTCTGGGGACTTCTATGGCCATTTCTGCAGGTGCTTTCCTTGTATATTGATGTGATCAAACCAGCTTTGAAAGCCTTTGAGTTCTCAGAGCTGCTGCAGAGATCATACAGTATTAAACACATTGCCTGAGTTTGCAAGTCTTTTAAGTGGAGATGGTGAATTTAGGATTAATTTAGACTGTAGGTTTTCATTGTAAACAACAAGCGGTAGGTATTGTGAGGCCTGTATGCACTTTCTCTCATCCTGCCATGCAGTATTGACAGCCGGTTCCTTGTAGAGTGGAAGAAGTTGACTAATTAGTGATATTTATACATATTTAATTTGAATGGAAGTTCAGGAAAAGAATCAATCTTTATTAGTGTTCAGCACTGCATCTTGGACTATTTCAGTATTGGAATACCACACTTTACTCCATAGATATGTATTATTATTTGTCAATTTAATAAACTTTTTAAAATCACTCTTTGCAATCCTATGAGGTTGACATTATCCCTATTTACATATAAGGAAACCAAAGCTTACAAAGTCATTTGTGTGCTTGATAAATTGGAAGGAAAATAGGAAGTTGAGAACATGTTATATAGTGGTTAATCAGCATTCTATGGACTATAGATTTTATCTTTTGGGGTTTTGCCATAAGGCATGTGCACTCACCAGAAAGGCAGACAAGAACATAGAAAAAGTGAGAAATCATTCCCAGGGGAGGATGGCCACACCACAATCCCTTCTCCCTCTCCTGGGTTATTGGGCACACACGCACATGTGCCTGGCATGATTCAAGCCATCAGATCCCGGATTCCAACTACTGTCAGCCATGTGGGAATCCAGCACCTTAACCACCTACAGGCCCCTGGATTATGATTTTTAAGGCATCTCTCAACTTGATGAAACTATGGATCTGCCAAAAAATTAGCCTTTAGAAATTCCTCTCCAGTCTCTAGCATGATAAAGTCAGTGTTAAAAATTATAATAAAATCACAAACACCCATTAGTGTTTAATAACTATGAAGAAAATTAGCTTGGTTTTTATTTTTATCTGAATGACAACTGTACTTGAATATCAGTGCCATATTGAAATGTTTTGCAGTTTATTTGGGTCAAATATAATTAAAGCAAATGAAATTAATTAATTTACATTGATGATTGTAAAATAAAATGTAATTTATACTTAAAATTTTTTAAAAATAGCTAATTGGCACACTTGACTGAGAAATAATTCCAGCGAGGCTAAGGCCACAGTTTTCACGGATGTGCTTGACCATTGTTATACCTAGACATCCTCCTGCTTCAAACTGTCCCTGATGTGTGTCTTTAGGGTTTCGTTGAGGGAGTGATTGTCACAGAAAAGAATTCTCCTTCTTGCATAAAATCTCAGGATATACTCTGAGTCACTGGTCTATTGACTTATATGATACTAACTCCTGCCCACAATTGGTTTATGTTGTTAAAGTATTCAAACCTTAACCTGAATCTTTATACAGCTTCCAAACATGTTTGATATCCTGAATAAGAGCAGCATCAACCGACTTTATGGAGACATTTAGATATTTTGGCCTCCAAAATAAGTGTTCAAAAACATTTTTATGTAAGTGAAGTAAGATGTGCATAAGGAATTATACAGATATATTTAACTTATCATGCTTATGTTTAAAACACAAAAATATAAGTGCTTTTATTACTCCATATGGCTCTGTAGTGTATCTTAATCTCACTAATTGCCTAATCTATCTTGCCTAGCAGGAACTCTTTATTAAAAAGTACATGATCATTTTAGATCATTTTTCTCAAGTACTGCTTTCAGTAGGAGTTGTAAAAATTATTGATTCTGCCTTTGTTTTTTCATCATCTCTACATGAACAACAAGCCAGAAATAATGTGCTGGTTCAGAAGAATTAAAGGTCAGTTTAAATGCCAACACCTATTGTTTACTGCAGAAAGTAAGACTGGCAAACCATTCCAAACATTGTAAGCTTTTTTGATGAAAAGGAAGACAAGAAAGGTTTTTTTCTTTTTTTTTGA